CTTGTTTCTATAGCGAAGGGCACACGCCATCTGAAGGTGACATGTTCGATTCCCGGCACGGTAACTATAGCTTTTGATAGTTATGATATCTAGTGTGTTCTACTTCTTTCTGCTTCTTTCTACGAGGGCCGATTAATACGTGTGTCTTTCTATCTTTCTACTTCTTTTTACTTCTTTCTATGAATATATTAATACATTGTTTATTATACATATATATATATATATATATATATATATATATATATATATATATATATATATATATATATATATATATATATATATATATATACGATCTCAACCTCATACGACTGGTGTGCGACAGCTGTATAAAGGGCTCTCTACTTCTACTATCACTGCTTCTGATGTTCTTCCATGTTGCCATTGAATTCTAGACTCTTATCTCGTTCTTATTCTTCTTCTGCCCGCTTTCCCTCAATAGAGTATAGACCCACAGTCAGCTCACACTCTCTCCTTCGCTGTTGAATGCAGCTCATACTATTTCCTCTACATCTTTTTAACTTCACACTATAGCTCCCTTTTCCATGTTTTTTTTTTGGGGGGGGGGGGGGGGGGGGGTTCTGTCTTTATTTCTATGGCCCTGTGGGTGCCAGTGCAAAGACATGGTCTTTGTATTATTCTTTGTTTTCTCAACGTGTGCCCTTTCTGTGTGCCCTTATTCTGTTAAGGTCCATTAAACTGAGGTATAAGGGTAAATTTACAAAACACACACATTTTATTACAAAGTTGTGCAGATTGAGTTAGTGCTCAAAATGTACTTATATACATAAAAGGTAAGTATTGACATATGAGAAGGTAAAAGGTAATGGGGAAGAATAGTAACAATGTTCCAAACAGTTAAGGCTGAAATATGTCTAAAATATCATACGTAGATGCATACATTAACACATTCGTAAGGAGTAAATGAGTTGAACATCCTTTTCAGAACATCGCAAAGCAATTCCCAGGTATTTATTATCAGTTGTATGGTTTTATTCGACAGCTCTAGTCAGTATTTTGTCATCTTACCTTCATAACGGATAAGGCAACCGTTCTAAACTATTTTAACCCTAAACAGTTGTTATTTCAACTCCCTCTGCCGCAAAATGTTCAGCTTAAAAGCAGTACATAACTTGGCCCTAAGTCGTTCAACATAGCTATTATGGAACACTAGACGTTGCGCTAGTAATGTATACAGTACAGACTGATAACACTTTCTTCTGTGACAAAAGACAGTCTTTGAATTATATTCTCTTTGAACTGATCCAGAAACGCATGGTGAATTATTTGGGACTAAAGGAATTAAAACGACACTTGTCTTCCACGTCTTTTTCTAGCTAGTATTCATTCCCGGTATTCACACCTGTCTCGGAGCTTCAGTTGGTTAGTCAGGCAAGTGGATTCTTCTTGGAGAGATCTCAGGTAAGTTATGTTTTTGTTTGTTAACGTTTGTTAACGTAACATTGTCTATTCATGTCGTGCGCTGATGAATGCTTTCTGACCGGAACGTTCACTTGCTGTTTGTGATTGTAATAATGTGAAACTGACTTTTCTTTCGATTTGATGTCCTTTCTTGATACCTAAACACGATTGCTAGCTCACGATATAATGCTAGATTCTTCGTCTTTTTCTGCTGCTTCTTTGACCTAGCAGAAGACTTCCGTCAGGCGGCCAGCAGTTGTGCTGAAAACTCTTATGCAGTCAATATCTTCCTGTCTACAGAGCAGCTGTGACTTGTTCCTTGTTCATTGTTCATTTTAAAAATCATCTTCATCGCACATCGGACATGACCATAAGTTCTCCGATCTCCTACTGTGTATGTCTCCAAGTGACATGTTTGAGATGGGAACAGGTCTGATAGCCTTCCTGCAAGCAGCATACCATTTATATTTTTGGAGTACATGCTCTCTCCGTGTGGGTTCCGGGGCCCCATTGGGAGAGGAGGGGGGTAGACAAAAAGAATAGATCCACTGCGCCCCCTAACAAGCATGTCGTAAAAGTCCAATAATTAGGGGTGTGTCGTTCGAAGTGGGCCTGCATTTGCATGAGAAGCGAGCAGTCAACAGTCTGCTGATAATTAAGTCAAATCTGTAATACAGATGAAAAAGCAAAATTCGAGCTGTGGTACAAGACCAGTGTCCATAAATGGACAAATAACCTGAGCTGTTCCGCCGGAGTTTACAACGTGTGAACGCGAACAGGATCTTTTTTTTTTTTTTTTTTTCAATCTGTGAAGTAAATCATTCAAACACCAGGTGAATTGTTTTTTTTTTTTTTTTTTACATTAGTGCAGAACACTTGTATAAATGATTAACAAAGAGTAGAACTATACAGTTTTAGTCTTAGTCGAGGTTTTAACTTAACTGCAATCAGGTTTCCCATCCTTGCTGCATTCCTGTGCCAATGAAAATCAGATGAAATGCCCCTCACTGTCATATTTGAAAAACTGGTGAACAAACAATTAGTTGTGGCACAATCCTGAAATATGCCTACGCAGTGTATGCCTGTGGCAGTTGCTAGAGACCTCAGAGCCAACAACAGTGGCCACCAGAAATGCAGTTTATCTTTGATGGAAGTAGTTGGACACGATATGTTGGCTATTCACACGTACAATTATTACATAAGGTATTTCGCCAGCCTAGACGTAAACCGGCGAACGGCCAGATTGAATACCACAACTCAGCCGCTGTACAAATAAAAACCATTCCACGTGAAAAACATAGCTTACAGTGCTGCCCTTAACGAAAGCGGCGAAACCGTAGACTTCCGTCCATATGTGGAAACTGCATTAGCAAAGCGCTGTCGGAAGCAAAAATAACTTTGAAGCTAAACATTCTGCCATGCCTTGTCCTCCACATTGGACCGTTCCATATTAGAACTATACAAACATCACTGATTCAGGGCAGAAATGTGGACAGTCCAGCAGATATTCGTGTACACCTTAATATGGAGTAATATTTTCTCACCCATTTGTTCCACATTTCTTCAAACATTAGGTTCCATGGGTCGTGTATTACATGCGTTTAAGTCACTCCGCTGGTATGTAAATACAACATAAAAACCAGAATGTGTGAGCACACATACACGCACGCACATGCGGGCATAAAAACATACATTATGAAATTGCATGTTCATATTATATAAATTATATTTATGACATTATATGTTCGTATTGTGTAGAGAATAAATCATAGATTTAACAGTTAATGCTTTGTATCATTATCAAGCAAACGAAGTAGACTTATGAATATATATATATATATATATATATATATATATATATATATATATATATATATATATATATATATATATATATATATATATATATATATATACATTTTTCCTATCTGTATTTAGTTGGTGGGGCTTTTAGAATTTCAGTGATGATATACCTCCATGCCATCGCTTCAGGCCGTCAAATATGGTCTCTTTTGGCCTCCCTCTGCCTCTTCTACCGAAGGTTTTTTACAATAAGTGCAGGGGTTTTCAGGCCAGTTGTTAATGTCGCCTGTTGCCGTTGTTAATAATAAAACGCCCCCCTCCCCCTAGGGCCGCAATATCTGATTAGGCACAACCTCTCTCTCCCTCTCTCTCTCTCTCTCTCTCTCTTTCTTCTCCCTTTTAATATTTATGTAAATGTGTGTGTGTGTGGGCCTCTGTGGCTTAAGCGTTGCGAACGCTCTTTGTAATGCCGGGGTGCCGGGTTCGATCCCTTTGCGCCTTGCGTTGGTTTCGACAGTGGTATCGAAAAGCCGACCGTCCAGAAAGCAATGGCAAACTACTAGATGTAAATTTGCCTTGAAAAACAACAAAATAAAAAAAAAATGCTGTGGTTTGTTCTGCAACGTCCTGTAAAGGATACGCAACTAACTTACGTATATATATATATATCTATATATAAAGGAAAAAAGTAAAGGGCCCTTTTCCACTCATTTAGGCGTTTTGGGTATATGGGGCTAGACCTATATTTTATAGACCACACGGCACTTGGTAGGTGATGTGGACAGCATCACACCGGTCGCCTTTTCTTTCCAGGACTGCACCAATTACCCACTTTAGCAGCAAAGGTCATTTTTGGAAAAAGTCCGGCCCCTGTCAAGAACCGAACCCACGACCTTTCGATCTGCAGGCCAGCGTCTAGCATATATATGCGTGTATGTGTATGTATGTGTGTGTGTGTGTTTGTTATATGCATCCAGTAGATTTAACACAGTTACTCTTGTTCTTCATCTGTCCATCTATCTGCCAGTACTTTCACTACCACCTGCTTTATAAAATATGGCTCTGGATCTTTTGCTGGATATCACCGTGACCTGATAAGCCGTGCTACAGTTGTCTGGACAAATCCTGGAGTCGCTGTTCGGTGTCGAACAGACCTATAGTTAGTTAGTTAAACATACCTCATTCGGCGTTTGTGGCTCACGCGTTGCGAACGCTCTTCGTAATGCCGGGGTGCTGGGTTGGATCCCAGCTGCGGACGATTTGTCTTGCGTTGGTTTCGACACTGGTACCGAGAGCTGACCGCTCAGGGCAATGACAAACTACTCAACGTAATATTTGCCTAGGAAAATCACAACAGCCAAAAAGCTAGGGTTGGTTCTGCGACGTCCTGTAAAGGATACGTAACTAACTATTTCCTTCTGTATCTATGTTTATCACACACAGCCTCGACATCTAAAAATCATGTCTAGCACTAAGTGGATGAATGCATGAATGAAGAATTGACATCACTGCACTCGGGACAATTCCACACGTGCTCCTTCTCCTTCTTCAGTAGCCAACGAAGAGTTGACATGCTAATAGTACCTGTTGCAACCTGATTAAAAGTCCGCCTCTGTTTCCCCTTCAGTATTAACTATATTCCAGAACCTCTCCTCACCCCGCTAACATTCAGCACTAAGTCATGAAAGTACATCCCGACAGGGGTTGAATAGAATAAAACCTTTTCTGCATCACTTCAAACCAAAAAACACTCGATTAGCTCCATCCGGGTCACGCTACCGGCGGAAGATCTCCATCGGTTCATCCTCCATGGCGTCGTTGCTGTCCGCGTACTCGGCCTTCTTCTTGTGCGACATGAACAGGAAGATGAGGCCTGCCAGGACGAAGAAGACGAAGACGAGCCACGATAGAACGAAGCTGTAGCCAAAGTGTGTTGTCGCCCCTGCAGGGATTCCACTCTGTTTGTTCTCGGCTTCATGCTCCACTGTCTTGACAAAGACTTCATTGAGGACAAGCAGGCAGGCGGCTGCGGAGATACAATACGGCGTTAGTGTGTTAACATTTACAGAAGCTGATTAACTCTTTGAGTACCAGCACAAAATTTCGTATGAGATGTCAGTGAAGAAGTATCCTTGATTAAAATTCGTCAATGACTTTCAAAGTGGTATACAATAGCTGTAGTGACCATTGCACAAGCCAGATTTCTTGAGTGTGTTTAGACCGAACACAAAAGTAAGACAGCATACTGAGCTAAGCAGGGTATTCGGCAAATATGATGATTCACACATCATACGTTGTTGGAGACTCAAAGAGTTTAAAAAAAAAAAGTTATTTTTAGCACTTTCATTATCAGAAAATGTTTCAAATACTCAAGGAGATAACAGACACAATGGAAAGAGCATGAGTATATTCTTTTCAGAGAGACAACATATGCTATTCTATATATTAGCATATCTGGCCAGATTTCGTTAGCAAGCTCAAACCATATGTTAAATAGATAGTTACACACAATTCATTGTTTGATACACACTGATTTTAGCTGATCACACACTGTACGTTGGTTGGGACAGAAAAAGTTTCGGGACAGTGAGCATGTTCCTCCGCATCCCCAGTTGAAACCCACAACGCACACGGAGTGGCTGAACCCATTTCTGAATATCTTCACTACATACGCCATACAGTGTCGAAACTGAATGACAAGACAAACCATTTCTTAGAAAACACTTCAGCTGCAGGATCTCGCCGATGAACAAAGTCTTAGAAGTATGGGTGCCGTGGTCCTTTTTGGAGGGGAAAAGGGGAGGGGCGAGGTAGGTAAATCTACTTCCTCTGCTTTCTATCCCCCAACAGAGCATAGACCTTCAACCAGCTCACGTCAGGTCGTTCTATCCTTCGCTGTCGCATGCAGCTCTACCCATGTCCTCCCCATCTGATTGACTTGTTTCTAGCTCCCTGCCCCATGTGCTTTAGCGTCTTTCTTGTACTGTGGTTCCAATACAAAGACATTACTGTTATTTTCAGGTTTTCTCAACCTGTGACCTATCCAACGCCAGCGTCTTTTCTTCACCTCTTGGTCCACTAGATCTTGCTTAGTTCTCTCCTAAAGCTCTACGTTAGTGATTCTGTCATACCATTTTATTCGCTGTGTTCTGGGCAGGCACCAGTTAATGCATGTTTGTAGTTGATTATTTACTACATTAACTGGTCTCCGTTTTTCCGCTCCATGCAGCAGTACTGCTTTAACATTGGGACTAAACATTTAGATGTAGTATTTGTTTTAATTTCCACCGCTTCCTAACAAGCATGTCGTAAAAGGCGACTAAGGAAATATGTGTGGGACAGAGCAGCGCCCCGGTACGGGTTTGACACCATAACACCACTGGCATTCACCGCTCATTTACCACAAATGTACCTCACAGAAGAATTCGCAAACGATAAACGTACACAACAAACTAAACTGGAAGAGCCACGCCACATGCCCAACTCACGGCCTGTGTGCCTCGACAGACATGCTCACCCGAGACATCTGTGTCAGCAGCACACCTCGGTAACCTACCTACACGTTATGTAAGGAAGATGCGTTCGAATTGTTGTGACAGGGGCGTCCAAAGGGAAAGGAGGATTTAGGCTTTCGAATGTAAATGCTACAGACGGATTTTACGAATTAGTTATTTAGAATACAAAACTAATAAACATGTCAGAGACAAAATATACAAATTTCATCAGCAGCCTCTCTTGGCAGGGGTGAAACGTCGCGAGCTAGCGTGGATTGGGCACGTGGTGAGACATGATTCGATTGCAAACACTGTACTTCAAGGAAAAATGTGGGGTAGTCGAAGAAGAGGAAAGATGAACCTGGTATGACAACATTAAAAAAATAGACAGGACTAAGTTATTATACACTTATTGATGAAGCGGAAGACAGAGAAAGATGACGGGTTTTATGTGCTAGTGCTTCCACCAATACACCTCCGCGACCCTAATAGGTCAAGGGTTATGATATGACAGGTGCTCCAGAATAATGAACTTATACGGTAGACCTGCTCTCTACACGCAGCAGACAGATCCCGAGTCTCGCCAGTTATCATTTGGTTGAATTTTAATTTAAATTGCACTATTCATCGCCCGGCATATTTCGCTGCATATGGTCAGACGCGTTACTATTGCAGTTTTACACTAAACATAAACAAACCCCCTCCATGTAAACAAAAGGAGTTCATAATACATTTGAAGTTAACCCTGGTAAGTCTCGTGACTATGTTGAACTTCTGGCGATTGTGTCGAGAGATAGGCCATTTGTGGTTCACGGAATAAATCCATTAAAAAAAAAACATCATTATGGCACACAGGTGTAACCCTTAAGTGCTTCGTTCTTCTTCTAACTCAAGTATAAGACCGAAGAAGCTCAGCACAGTGCACAGGCTCTGTAGCACCGGCTAGGATCCTGAAAAACTTTGGGTAGATTTTAACTCTAAAGTTTTGCCCAGGCAGCGCCGTTATGCTACTTTTCTCGATCTCCGACTGCCAATGAATATTTTACGTGCGAAACAATATACACGGGCGTCCGATCTTACTACCCAGAGACCAGGGGTAATTACTAGACACAAATTGGTTCTTTTCTGTTTAGCAACCACACTACGCGATATTTAGGGTAATCCTATATTATAGGGGGGTTAGGGATAGTGTTAAATGAATGACGACTACTAATAACCTTAACCCCCTCCCCCTACAATATGGAAATTCTCTAAATCTCGCGTGATGTGGTCGCTAAAACCACAAATTCGCTCTTTCCAAATCTCCTTAAGCGGTCTGGTTAGTATTTCTGGTCGGCACCCCGGTGCGCCCTACTATAGCGACCCCACTGCCTACCACCCTTTGCGCCCATCGCTGAAGACGCCTCTGTCGTAAAGTGGGAGCCTTTATGCTCTTGAGCTGCTAGCCAAAAGCCGCGGGAACTAAACACGTGCAGGCCTGGCTTTTTTCTCTTCAGGCACCATGTTTGTAGTTCTCCTGCGTGAGTACTGTTAGATCGACAGCTCCAGGTACTGCATTCCGGTCCTCAGTGAGTCTATTTACAGGTTCGGCCTCACTGAGTTTCGGGAAGATCCGTATGCGCGGAGCATTTGCTGAAGGTGGTGTCTGGGGACTGTTTCTAGACCTGCTCAAATAAGTCAAGAGTTGTAATACACGCGAGGCTGCCAGACGAATTCTATATTATTAAGTAAAGAAAAGAAACTCGTATTTTTACATTCACAATCTTTGTAATTTGGTAAGTGAAATTGTTCACACTGCACACACTAACACCTGAGGGTTCGGCCGGTGATGGACGGTTCTTTTGCATTTGGATCATGGTTCATTTTTAGGCGTATGAGCTTTCCGTCACCTTAAAAAAAGCAGCATAGGAAAACTATGCGGCTGTTTCTTTCCATTTGTCTTTATCTATACATTGTGTTGTGGTGTACAGCTAATCTACATCGCAGCACCCAGGAACATTCCATTATGCGCTTTGTCCTCACCTTCAGCAGCCAGCGAAAAGCTCCAAGTCCGACGGTCCTAGTAGCAGTTTATTGTATAACATTAGCCGGTACCACCTACCTGTCTTCTGTTAACGTGGGATATTGGGCGGCGTATACCAAACCTGACATCCCATATTGTGCCAGCGGCTTCGAACGCATTGGGAAGGATACTAGCCTTATCCTAGGAAGAAGAAGTGAACCCTGTAAACCTTTTGTTGTGGCAGACCAGACCAGGATTTAGCTTTGGGAAGCTCTGACAGGCGGACAGATAAAGCACTGCTCTTTTGATGCGGCAGCTTTTGCAGCCTGCTTTGTTCAAAACGTACAGGTGTTACCTTTCCTTTGAAGTAAACAAGGCAGGTTTAGCGAGGAATCAAGATGCATGGACAACACAATACTGCCCAGGCTTTGTGTTATGGAGAAGATGACTTCTTCCCTGGCAGTAAGTGGTATCAGAAACAAAAATCGAGAGGCAGCAGTTACGGGGTGTAAGTCCATGTAAGTTGGTGTAGACGAGGGCGCCACGGGTTGCCTGTGACGATGGGAAACATTTTCAAATGTCACTCATCAGCTACTGCCCACCTCAAGCTGGGTAGCAGCCAGCCAATAAGGTTAATTTTCTTGAAGCGGTCGGGTCTTGCTAGTAACAATCACCAACGCCATAGGCTGTGAGTCCCATGCCTCCTCCTAGCGCAATATAACACTATAGTCTGGAAAGACGGAAAGGTGCCAGTGATGACGAGCAGTTTGACTGTATGCCTTGTCTTCATCCTTTTCTAAGTGTAGATCAGGACTATTTACCATAGTTTAATCAGCTGCCTAAATTTTGAATAGGGGGGATCGTCAGAGGCCAGATGCCTGAGCCCCAGCGTAGAAATATCAATAATACAATACACCGTACAACGATCCGCGGGCTTCTTGCTAGGCCTCTGCGGACCGGATACACCCCGAAGGCTGCCACTTGAATTACCCTAGTGTACAGTATTGGCTGTGTTCCATGATCAACCCCCCACCGCGCCATTCTCATCCACAGCATACGTTTCATTGGCATTTCTTTATTGTTTACTCGTTTAAATGGGCTTGAATCGCTTTTAGCTTGCCATGTTACATTAAAGTGAAGCACTTTGTACTTGGAACATTCGGAGAGAAGGCCTTCTGATGCTAAACTATACGAGGCATATACTAAAAGAGGATAAGGACGTAGAGCAAGAACAATATGAGAAAATAGCATCAGAGAAACTTTACAACACCACGATGTGTCAATGAAGCAGCCATAAAAGCACGAGGCAGGACTTTATATCTCCCGAAACAGTAAAAACAGACGAAGAAGAAGAAGAAGAAGAAGAAGAAGAAGAAGAAGAAGAAGAAGAAGAAGAAGAAGAAGAAGAAGAAGAAGAAGAAGAAGAAGAAGAAGAAGAAGAAGAAGAAGAAGAAGAAGAAGAAGAAAGTAGAAGAAGAAGAAGAAGATGACAAAGAAGAAGAAGAAGAAGAAGAAGAAAAAGAATTTCTA